TTTTTTTCGCGCTTTCAAGAGTTATTTTTATTGGAGTTAGTTAGCTGTTGGGTCGACCTACCAAAAGGTTCTTTTCAGTGAAAATTTGCCAAAAATTTGCCAACTACCAAAATATTAAAAAAACCATGGACATCTGGTGCATGCAAATGCCTGAGATAATTAAACGCCCTAGATGGAAGCACCCGTAAGTATGCGCAACCGATTATGAATGTGATTAAAATATGCGGTATCGGTATTTAGACGATTTCGACGCGGTATTTCGGTATTTGCCTTTTTTTCTTACGGTATTGCGGTATTGGGTACCCCCCAATGTCCCCCTCGGGAAGGGTAGGAGAGAACCCTAGGAAGAAGGTAGACTTGGTTGCCTGTTTTAGTAAAGTCTGTTTTAAATACCCAGAAGGGAGGGGGAGGGGGGGAGGCCTTCAAAGCCTGACCTTTCAAGATACTTAATGGTGAAATTATATGACCTGTTTAAGGCTCAAGACCCTGTAAACCATACCCTGTTTAGTTTCACAAACCCATATAGGCAAAATAAGGAAGTGCCCTCTCTGCCAGGGTCAAATAAAGCCTGACCCTTGAAAGTTCTTGGTTAAAATTTTCCAACAAAAATCCCAAAAAAAATCTCCCTTGAACTCAGTGTTTATTGTCTAGTCACCAATCAGCACAAAGCAAAGATCAGGGCAAAAACCAGAAACTTATTACTATTGCTGCTCCTAGTTTAGTTTTCTCACGGCTAATTGGAATTTTCCTAACAAAAAAATAACATTCCTGAAATATTTCTTGTGTTCATGGTTTTCTGAGTTTCTCAGACTGTGAAAGGTGCAATATTTATTGCTTGCTCAATTTATTAACATCCCTGTTATAATCAAGGAAAACCCTAAAAATGGGGCAGGCTTTTTGAAAAATTATGATTAGCCTCCTAAACATATTTTCCCTTTTGGCCTATCATGCACAGGGCTGTGAGAAAGTTTTGAGTTCGACGACTGAGTTGTCAAAGTAAGCGGCCAGTCCAGAGATTTTTTATGTAAAAACACCATCCGTAAAGAAATGCCAAGCAAAGTAGCCGGCCAATACTAACCAAGTAGGCGGTGATTTTCGCAGGCCGCCGGCCACTTTTGACAACCCTGCATGCATGACTCCCACCACGCCACCACTACCCACCACTTCCTAACCCCTCATTGCCGAGCCAAAAGAATATTATTTTATATACAATAAATCCTCAATTAAGCCCCCCACCCCCTCTCAAAGAGGCCAATCAACATCCACAACACTGCTAAATGATGGTGCATTAGATGGCATGATTAACACCGGGGGGGGGGGGGGGGGGTACTCCCTTATAAGGACTTAATGGGGACGTGCGGCCAGCCAAGTATGTTTTTCGGGATTTTTGTCTTAAACAGGGTATTGAATTTATCACTTTTTGTCTTAAACAAGATAAATGTCTCAAACAGGGTATTAAAAAATCGGAATTCTGTCTTAAACAGGGTAGGGAAATCAGCGACATTTGTCTTAAACAGGGTCAGGGTATGAGGGGCCACGCCGCACCTCCCCACCCAGGGATATATCGAGTATCCCCCCGGGGATTTACAAACTCAGTGAATGTGGATTTTGTTTCATTCAGTCAACTTTATTTGAAGCAAGTATATGGTGAAAGTGCTGTTTGATAATTACTATATATTCAGTATATAGGTTAAAAATTGTCATTACTTTCTGACAAGACTGTAGTTTGAAAACAATGATCTTTCCTGAATTGCACATTGCAGCAAACATCATATACCAGTTTCCCTTGTTTTTGTGAGGTGACCAGCTGCTTGGCTGGTTCAGCTTGAAGAAAGAAATAGAACCAGTGCTGCCAGTATTGCGTTAATAAAGAAAGCAGCCAGAAAATGAACCAAAGCTTGGGCAGACATAGTCAGTGCTCTACCCAAATTATTGTAAAGAGCTAGGGATGTGATCATGTGTCAAATTTTTCCTAAGTCTTGCAAGAAAATACAAGCAATTTCTAAGGAGAATCTACCATAAATAAGAAGTCACGTCGGTTTTCTTCAGGGACTTATTTCATACAATGTTAAGGATCACAAAAGCCTGGGACCAGGCTCCGCATTGAGAAAAGGAAAAAAAATTGGCACGCGAAGCAAGCCAAGAGGTGTAGTCTGGGGAGTGGAAAGGGTGGCAGAGGCATGTCTCCAGGCTCCGCCGCCCTTTCCTCATCCCCAGGCCACTGCTGGTTTCGCTTCACTTGCCAATATTTTTCCGATTTCACCTAGTTTTTTGCCTTTTTCCCCCACTGCGAAGCCTGGTCCCAGCCTAGGATTACAATAATATCATCAATCAATTGCTTCATCAATGGTTCATTCCTCAACCCTTCACTCTCAGAAAACTATTGCTGAGGGACTATATTAGAATCCCAATTTTGTCTGTGGATGAAAATCTGTTGCACCCACTGAAATGGTACTGTGGCATGTTGCATTGTTTTCTAGTATAATCTTTTGAGTGTCAATGTATTTAGCTCAAAAATGCTAATTGACAATGCTAGAACTAGCCTTGTAGAGCATCTGAGAAAACCTCTCGGCGGGTGAAACTAGAGCTAAAAAAACTGGATGCTCTCGCAGACTATGCTACTACCGTCAAGTCTCTCTAACACAAACACCTTTGGGAAAGACATTTAAGTCTGTGTCTTAGAGAGATGTCTGTCACTCAGTTAGTCAAATAAAAGGTGTAATGAACATGGTGTAGGTGTCCATTTTAATGAGGTGCCTTTAAGAGAGTCGTCAGTTGACTGCATTGTCATCAGAGACAGGATCACCATATTTACGTGGTCATCCGAGCCAGGCAAAGGTTCAGGCACTTGCAGAGCAAAGGCAGTTTCTTTATGTCTCAGTTATTCTAAGACCCCAAGTATTGGTCTAGCCTCAGGGATCGAGCCCATGACATCCCATTCTGCAGTGAAGCAATCTACTGCTATTCCTGTCACAATTAAAATAATATTGGAATTTGGAGTTTTTCTGAATTGCAATTTGAGGCACCCTAAACGTTATTTAACTTTGTCAGTAATTATTAACTTTGTCAGTTAAATAACGTTTAGAGTGCCTCAAATTACAATTCAGAAAAACTACAAATAATTATAATTGTTAATAACTATTATTAACAGTGTTTCAACCACCAGGCCCTACACTCTACATCCTATCAGTATGCATGACCATTTACATCACAACAAGAGGCCACATACAGTAAAACACAATAAAATGGAAGACCCCACTTTCACTAGTCCGCTACACAGCCATTTTAAGTGCCGTCGTGCAATGCTCCTCCCCACAAACAGCTGCTGAGAATTGAACCACATTCCTTTCCCGCGGTTAGTCTATTAGAATTGAGCTTCCATTTTGTTGAAGGTTTTTCGTGCCACGTTTGCGGTGAAGACTCCTCCAATCACAGCTTTGCTTTTATCTGTCCCCCATGTGGGAATGACAGAACAATCAAAATCGTCACATGAAAACAAGCAATCAGAGTAGTGTTTTGTTGTCGTAGTCAAGTCCTATTCAAAATTTCCAAGATAAGCAGTGGCAGTGAGCAAGTCAAGCAAATCTGATGCACAACATGAATGTGCTTATAAAGTTACTGGGTATAGTTTCGGTAAGTCACTCTTCAATAACTCATATAAAGATTCCTTTCGTTTGACGTGTACAGCAATACAATCAGCACATCCGGCACATGAAATTGATCATACATATGTGCATTGACAAGAACCAACTGTAAGAGTATTGTAGGCCTATCAAACCTTTTCTCACCTTGAACTTCGTTAACCGCTTAAAAAAGCTTTCTTGCAAGTTAACCTTTTCGTTGCTTGAAGACACAGAGCCCATCCAAATTCAGCGATGATTGATTGATTTGTCAAAAATTGAGAAGCATGTTCACTTCCTAGTGCCCTGTGGCTCACGTATTGTCAATTTTCTGCTACATGATTGGTTTGTTCGTTAGACCACATACACAAAGGGAAAGGAATGTGGTTCGATTTTCAGCAGCCATTTGTGGGGAGGAGCGTTGCATGACAACACTAAAAACGGCTGTGTAGCAGACTACACGTTCACCAACAATAATGTGTCTACTACAAATAACTGTGTGGAACCGGCCGATTGGATAATGGATCCCCATTGTGACACAGACATTTCATAATTGACCACTTTAGAACGAAAAAGAAAACTGAACTGAGTAAACTTTCACAAAGACTTCTGGGACCATTATTGTGGACAGGGAAGAAAATTGACCGGCAGCTGATCGCTGCATCTCCAGTAACGACCCCTGAAAAAATTGTGGGATACATTTGGGCTCCAGTTTCCTTCTCACTTCCGAAGTGGCAAATCCACTAGCACTTTGTTTATACGTCAGGATTACACTGAAGCCGTACCCTTGACAACCCTTCATTACCTTTCATCCACACATCTGACAGCAAATCGTTGGCAGTTACGTCTTTTGACAGCTAGCACAACTGTAAGAACTGGCAACGTACACAGATGCAGTAACTCATCAATAGCAAGTAATGACAAAAGATGCCAATGATTAGTCTTAATAATTAGCACTTAACTGCAGCTGTGCACATTGCTTATATAATCATGGCTTTTAACTTTCCCATCCCAGAATATCCATTAAGCAAAACAAGATTGCCTTAAAGGAAAATGGATGGATTTTTTAACTGCATTTGTCACATGCACACACACACACAGAAACACATCAAAACATTTAAAAGGAGTTGACACAGTCCCAAGGAATTGGCAAATTGCCAAGTTAATTGTCATGTCTCATCAATATGCTTTCCCATGAATTTTCTTGTCTACTCAGCTGCACAAATAAAATAATAAGTCATTTAACTATAATGTGGAGTTCCGATCTCTCTCCTTATGCTCATTCCTGCAAGCAAATAAAAATACACAAGTCGCTATATACCTCAAATTTTAAGAAAGCGTATTCTGCGAGAATTGTCATTTTATTCCAACAATCAGACTACCACATATCGTAGAAACAAAGTTTTCTGGCTTCGTATCACTTGCAAATTAGTCCCTCATTTGGCTTTGCAACAAGACATTCATGACATTTCTTCCCATTAAGATCCTTGGAAACTAATTTTTGACACCACAATAATAAGTTCAAAGAAAACAAATCCATTAGTGATTGCTCAGTTTTAATATCATCTTTTAGACATAATTTAACAATACATTTTACACAAAAAAAGTCTTCCAAATGATCTATGTATATGCTATCACATTCCAATTCCATCCATTATAACCGTCACTGATCCTTGTCAGCCACTATCCTATTTCCGTATACAACACGCACAATTAACAGTTTTCTAAAGGAAAATACTTTACTACCACTTCCAGATCTCATAGCAAATTAATGACAAGCGTTGTTTTGAAAACATTTTCTGGAAACCACTCCCCCAACAAAATAAGGTAGCCACATTTAGTATGCAGTGACTCACACGTCCAAAAACAAAGAATCAATATCGTTAAAATGCCATGTAATTTGGAAATGCAGCAATTTTATGCAAATAATTTCACAATATTTAACTTTAACTTTGAATAAATGGTTTCACTTAGTGATCAACGATACAAAATAATAAAATAAATCTATGATCTGGGCTAGCTACCCCATCACACTCCTTATATAGATAATTTACTACTAAGGGATGCATGCACACTGCTGAATTCTCATCGAAGGCAACTCATAAAGTAAAAAAAAGTGAAAAATGAAACTTTGTCCATCCTCTAATTGAGAAATAAGCAGCCATGCAAAGCCATCTCAGTCGCCAATACAGGCACATCAGCCTGTATACAACAAAATAATTTTAACAGCTACACCTCGAAACAATTCTATTTTGCCTATATCTAAACATATAAATTATACTACTTAATTCGTATCTGCGCTTCTTATCTGGTGTAATATATAAAGCTTTAGCTTTACTTCTACGTTGAACAAAAGACTGTATGCAAGTAGGACAATCAAAGCTTTATGCATTACACCAAAAATATTCCACTCCAAAATTCAATGTTCTCTTGTGTGTTTTCAGTCAAAAATTGGCAAAAAATAACTTTGTTGCTCTTACCAGCGTTTTCCCAACCATAAAGCACTGTAAAACCAAGTAAAACGTTATTTGAAATCGAAGAACAGCAAACTCACGGAAAAAATTTATTCTAAATATTCCGAGTAAGTTAGAAAAGCGTTTCAACTTAGCAATTTTTCACAGTTTACAGACAAAAAACGAAGCAAGTAAATTGAAATTGCGTAAGAAATCAGTTCTTTTCTAATCTCGTTCTGATTTAGCAAAATTGGAACTAGATTAAAACTTGTTCAGTAAATATTTACTGACTGGGGTGTAAATTTTAAGGAGAAGACGCGATATAGAGTTAAGTCATTGACAGAAAACATTCGAATTCCTCGAGTAAACCGAATGAATATAGAGGTTTTTCCTATTGACATGAAACTATTATTCTAACGAACGTCTGAAGCGTATTTCACTAATATAAATATCACTGCTTCATTATTATCCACTACTATCCTTAGCCTCAACGTAACGCGATTTCTACTTTGCATGCCAAGTGTGATCCAAAGCACGGCTTCTAACCTACCGGTATTCCCTCAATACTTTACAAGTATTATTACACTTTCGAGTTTTTCATAACAATCAAAAGATTATGATAAAAAATTAATGTCTTTGTGGTGATGTAACAGAGTGCAGAACGATCGCTACTACTTAATTCGAAAACACAGCATAACGACACGCAGCCCCACCTAAAATTTGGAAAGCGACACACCTTCCAAAAAATTACACCGATTTCAAGTTTTCGAACGAATTCCATTCCCCACGGGGCTACTAAGAGAACTAAATGAATACGTTTCTATTTCATTTTAACGGACAGAGGGCATAAACAATGAAATGGAATGAGAGTGAATAATATCTAAGTGTAAAGATATAAATTTTCAATCGCTGATCGCGAGTTGAACACGCACGTCCACTGCCTCGGAAAAACCTTGCGACGTAGGCCATGTTAACAAAGCAAACGAACTAAACAGCGTTCAAGCCAGAAAGCCGACCGTTGCACATCTTGCCAAAATGAGCAAGAAAAATAATAATTACAGAAAAGGAACCTATGTCCCCGAATTGAACGTCTAAAGTAATTCATTGGTATCCGGCTAAGTTATAGAAGCGTTTGTTTGCTCAAAAGTTCACATAAAACGAATTTGAAAAAGCTTACAGTTCAGTCCGGAGCTTCTTTGGAACCGGGAACCTACTCTGCATCGCCATTAACCACTGGGGCTGCTTCTTCCTCTTTCTTCTCTTCTTCTGCTTGTTCCTTTGGCTCAGACGCTGCCTCTGCACTCTCCCCAGCGGCTTCCTCTTTAGGCTCCTCTTCCTTTTTCGCTTCGCCGCTCGCTTCCTCTTCTTTCGCCTCACCCTCTGCTTCTTTGGCTTCACCGGTCGCTTCACCCTCCCCTTCTTTCGCTTCACCACTCGGCTCACCGTTTTCTTTCGCTTCGCCCTCGGTTTCTTTCGCTTCTCCAGACGGCTCAGTTGACTTTGTGCGCTTCTTCTTTTTAACGCTTAGCCTCGACTTTGGTCGCGTCTCCTCCACTTGTTCCTCGGAACCGAGGTCATTCCAGTCGAGCCAGTAGTTAAGCTTCATTCGATCGCAAAAGTCCACGAGATTTTTCAAATCCTCGCGGATCACTTTGGCCAGGGGCGAATTTTCTGCCGTGTGCAGCAAGCATGACAAGAGGCCAAACATCGTGCAATCGATAGTCGTGGGCTCCGAGCCCATGAAGAACTCTTTATCATCTAAGAACGCAGAATATGCACGTAGATCTTTCTCGCCAATTGCGTAAATTTCTTCCTTGTTGTGTTTGCCAATTTCGTGTGCTTCTAGACACTTGACACATTTGCCTTGATCTAGCTTCGGACGCACATTCTTTCTCACGACATCCAAACCCTTGAAATACTTCTTAGTTTCGGAGAAGTTATCCACCCAGCGATAGTACATCAAACTCCAGAACGTGTTCTCCTCAGCCATGATCTGGAAAGCTCGCGAACAAGCTTGGTCCTTTTCATTTAGGTTAGCATCGGCGTTGACTTCAAACTTGGAGTTAAGGAACCCTAAAAGATCGTGTTTCTTTGTCTCGCCCTTATACTCGAGGTAAGGCAACTTCTGGTCCGTCCCTGATTTGTAGACGTTTTCGTAAGGGATCTTCATCAGTCGGCAATAGGTTTCAATCTTAATGCAAGCGGGAAGAGGAGAAGGGATGAAATTCCAAGGTGGATGTTGATAAATTATAACTTTTGGAGGCGGAGGGGGACTGCTATCCTCTTTCGTTTCGCTTTCACCCGCTTCAGCGACAGCGTCCGCTTCGTTCTCTGTTGGCTTGTTTTCATCAGCGGCTGCTTGATCATCTTGCTTCTCGTCGACATGATTTTCTTCGGGTTTGGCAACCTCTTCGGGTTTCGTTTCAGCCTGATCTGCAACTGCATCGACAGTCGGCGGTGTTTCGACTTCTGTCGCCATCTTTGCGCTAGAAAATCAAGAAACTAATGCTCAATGATCAACCTTAGATCGAATACAACGCCTTTCTATAGCGAACTAAGGCCAAGCCCAACAATGACCTTTAGTTTGGTTGAGCACCACGCGTTATTAGCACGTTTCAAGTTTATAAATTGACGGTATTGTCAAGATTTAGCCAATAGCAGCGTAGCTTTTCTTCACGAACCAATCACGTGCCCTGTTCCAAAGACAGTCAATAGTAAGGGTGTGAGACCAAGGCAATGAAAATAACGCGCTGGGGAGGTGCTGGGGAAGGCAGATTGTACAACACAATAGCAAAACGTCTTTTGCATCTCAAAAGTGCCATGTAACAAACAAAGAATAAAATTCCCGTCTGACAACTCAATATAAAGCGTAGAGAGTTCGGCGTGTGCGGGATTCAATCCAGCCAGTCATATGAGGTTTCTCGCAAACTTTTTTCGAACTGGCGTTTGTTTTCGATTTTATCTCCCGGGGGTTTTATCTGTCATGACAGGCATTACTTATATTGATAGGGTAGAGGATCGAGTAAATTAGTCATACTCTAAATCGCATTGATTTTAAAAGCAATTACGCAAAACAGTAACGCACCGACATTGAATACTAATCGTACCAAATAGCGGCCACAAAATTCTAGCTCGTATACCACTCAAAGATTATTTTGATTGTTGATTGAGCAACTTTTAGTGGGGAGAAATCTTAATTTCTCATTTATACTTAAATATACTATTTTTCTATGGGAGGGCCTAGACATTAGTGCAAACACAGGCAACAACACAATAAAAAGATAATGACGTGGCTTGAACTTTTAGATGAGTAACAACTCGCAATGTGTCCCCGGTACAAAGTTCCGTTTACTCTATTGTAATCTGTTCCAAATTCTTCCGTTCACGATTCGACTGAAAACAAAACGTGCATATATCAATTTAAAAAATTCAATGTTTTGGGAAATATTGGCATCAAAGTGAATGTCGAAAACTGACAGGAGCAATCGCGGATCTTTCGCGGGTGGTCAAATTTCTCAAAACTCGATACAATGTTACTTTACAATCGACTGCATGACCTCCTTATGTTCGATGTTAGCGACACGCAAGATTCATCTATAAGTATGAAGTACATCAACGAATTGTAATGCCTGATTCCTTAATTCTGTCTCGGATTTCGCAAGCAATTTTGTTTACTCCCGGACTGAAAAAGTAGAATCACAGAGCGAGGGTGACGTGCAAAGTTCACTCGGGCGTGTTCTATTTATTCCCTAAAACCTGTGTCACGAAATTGTCTAAAAATAAATCCTATTTTACATGTGTAATGTCACAACCGCAGTAAGCACCAGCTAAATTTACGTTTTATTTTTTACTTTTTTTTTTAAGTTGCCTCTTAAGATATTGTCACATATCTGCAAATGCTTTTCTCTTGACGTTATGGTAAACAGACCACAATGAGGAAAACTTTTTATTTTATTTCATTTTATCATTATTTTTTAAATTTTATGACGTTTATGAATATATGATTTCGTTTACAGAGGAACAGAAGTAAAGCTTGGGTTAAAGGTTGCGAAAAATCATCCGAGATGGGCAGTGAGCCCTATTTAATTGCAGTTAATTAATGTGACGAAACTTTCCATTCTTTCTATAAAGTTGTGAAAATTTTAGATCCTGCCAGGCGGTTCATGTTTTCACGCCCTTTAAAGTTACACGTGCAATGGAAAGTTCTAAAGGTCACCCTACCGTGTACCAAGAATTCATAGAATTTTGTTTGATGCTTCACGATGCATGTCTTTCACAGCAAATAGCTGATTAATATAAAACTGTGCAGCCTAAATCAACCGAATCAGCCAAAAATTATTGGCTTTTCGTGATTTTTCATGCGCCGTAAATTCGTCACGTGCCAAGAATGGTTGTCGTGCCAGGCAGATTCGTAGTAGAGAACCCCACGATTCCCCTGGCCAGGCCCTCGTCATATGACTATGTGGTGATGGACGTTTAAATCCGACAGGATTTACGTTCGATAGGGCGATTGCAAAATTCAGTCTTAAATCTGGGTTAAATTTAATATTTTTTCGCGATTAAAAGGATAGAGATACAAAGGAATTTTTCTTCGGTTAATCTGTAAAGCAAATATCACATTATTACCATCAACAAAAAAACAAACTATTTCGGGTCCAATTCCAAGAGCAACAATTGTAATCAGTTTATCGACAGGTAGTCACGTAATCTAATCGTGACAGAAAAAACGACAAATTCATTCAAGTCCATATTTTTTTCAGTCAGTGGGAAATCTATGGCTTTTTTAATTTTCTTTTCAGCAAACAATGAATCTCCTGTTATTTTGTAGTAAGCCGCACCCTTACACCCACGGCCTTCCTGAAGCGCGTGCCCTTTGTACAAGCGGAGAATCTGCTTTGTCTCTCTTTTTATTTATCATATTATCACTCCAAGAACTCTTTCATCGTCACAGTGTACGTGATAGAGGTCACAGCGCCATCGAGCGAAACGTAATTCAAGCGGAGTCATCCGTGAATTTTTAAAATATACCGTAAAATTCCGAAAATAAGCCCTGGGGCATATATTTTTCAAAGGCCCTTTTTGAGGGGCTTATTTTTGGAGGGGCTTATATTCGGAGGGGCTTATCTACGGAGGGAAATTTGCGTTTCAAAATCGATTGGGTTAGCCTTATAGTTGGAAAGAAATTTACCGTTTTTGCTTTGTTTTGCTTTGTATTTGAGGGCAACTTTCAAGTACAAGCCCCCGGGGGGGGCTTATATTCGGAGGGGCAATTTAACGGAGGGTTTTTTGCGTTACGAGTTCGGGGGGCTTATATTTGGAGGGGCTTATACATGGAGGGGCTAATTTTTGGAATTTTACGGTAGTTCTAGTAAAAGTGACCTTGGATTCCTTGATTTCTTCCTTTTAGCACGGAACAACTTGACAGGAGGACGGGGGGACATTCTGTATCTTTGATAGAGTGGCTGCCTTTGCCACAGCCCCCGGGGGGGTACTCAATAAAGTTTTATACCGGGGGAGGCTCCGACAACCCCTTACCCCTTTACATACCATTTTTGACAGAAAAGATCATCCCTTTCCTATACCTTCTATTGACAAAAGGTAGCGTTTTCAAATACCTAGTTTAGAACTTGGCATCCCTTTTAACTGCTGTAAATCCACTGTCTTTGAAATATTAATATATCACAAAGCCACAACGTTTTCTCGACTTTTTCACAGACATGAAATGTATCTGTTAGTCCTTTTGGCCTTTTTACGACCGAAATGAAAGATTTTCCTACCCTTTCATCAAGAACTAGTGAAATCTTTACCTTTCCATATACCTTGTGAAGCCTGAAAAAGATACCCCTTTCGGGCGGAGCCTCCCCCTTAGGCCACTATAGGATATAATCTGTAAAGCAAATATCACATTATTACCATCAACAAAAAAACAAACTATTTCGGGTCCAATTCCAAGAGCAACAATTGTAATCAGTTTATCGACAGGTAGTCACGTAATCTAATCGTGACAGAAAAAAGACAAATTCCATCAAGTCCGTATTTTTTTCAGTCAGTGGGAAATCTATGGTTTTTTTTATTTTCTTTTCAGCAAACAATGAATCTCTTGTTATTTTGTAGTAAGCCGCGCCCTTACACCCACGGCCTTCCTGAAGCGCGTGCCCTTTGTACAAGCGGAGAATCTGCTTTGTCTCTCTTCTTATTTATCACATTATCACTCCAAGAACTCTTTCATCGTCACAGTGTACGTGATAGAGGTCACAGCGCCATCGAGCGAAACGTAATTCAAACGGAGTCATCCGTGAATTTTTAAAATATAGTTCTAGTAAAAGTGACCTTGGATTCCTTGATTTCTTCCTTTTAGCACGGAACAACTTGACAGGAGGACAGGGGGACATTCTGTATCTTTGATAGAGTGCCTGCCTTTGCCACAGCCCCCGGGGGGGGGGGTTACTCAAGAAAGTTTTATACCGGGGGAGGCTCCGACAACCCCTTACCCCTTTACATACCATTTTTGACAGAAAAGATCATCCCTTCATACCTTCTATTGACAAAAGGTAGCGTTTTCACATACCTAGTTTAGAACTTGGCATCTCTTTTAACTGCTGTAAATCCACTGTCTTTGAAATATTAATATATCACAAAGCCAGAAAGTTTTCTCGACTTTTTCACAGACATGAAATGTATCTGTTAGTTCCTTTTGGCCTTCTTGCGACCGAAATGACAGACTTTCCTACCCTTTCATCAAGAACTAGTGAAATCCCTACCCTTTCATATACCTTATGAAGCCTGAAAAAGATACCCCTTGCGGGCGGAGCCTCCCCGTTTAAGCCATTATAGGAAGTATTCCCCCCCAACCCCCACCCCCGGGGTGCCACACAATTTCCACTCAAAAGTGAATAACCCTTGAATAACCCTATTCTGCCCAAGCCTCCCACGCAGGCGTTTTTAGGGGAGCTGCCTAACAACCAAAAATCCTAACTTTGCCTGCTAGCCCAACGTCTCTCAATCCCCTCCGGGCTCTCAATACACCTATTTGCAATAGTGATCCAAGCCAGCTGGGCAAAGGTCACGTCCCCTTCCCGTCTACTCAGTCAAAAATTGGCGTCCACACCTCTCGTTTTCAATCGTTTTAGCCCGTCCAAAGGTTGAAAATGGACATGTTTTATACGGATTGGTTTTGAATTGTTTTAAATTCGTACCTCTCTCACTAAGCACTTACACATAATGCTTTAAACCACAACTTCCTATGTATTACTTCTGTCGGGTCTTTTAACTTCGAGAGATTTTTGAATTCAAAATAACAAACGCTCTTTTCTCGGCGCGGGTAAGAATACGAGCCGAAAAGGGCGTCTGCTTTCACAGGCTGTAGTTGAACAGTTGCCCTGAAAGAGGAATTGTTTTCTTTAAGAGATATGCAAAAACGTTGCGCAGAGAAGTCAAACATTTTTTTTAAACATCTCACGCCGGGAGCGACTCCTGCTC